CATTTAACGCATTATAATGCGTTGTTCTGAAACTGAAAACGAACAGTTCATAAACATTTCGAAATCGGATAAATCATTTTGAATAACCCTGTATAATAATGGCCAGAAATCGTACGTTGTTATTTGTTTTTTTTTTTTTTACTTTTGCTGCTTTGTTTTTTCGACTTTCGGACGACCCCCGAGACGTCATGGCCGACGCGCGTGCGGCACGTCTAGAAAACGATAATATCATCGCCGACGGTGTAAACCCGAACCGCGGCCGTTCAACAAACCGATTATTAACCAGACACATTATTTTTTTTTTTTTTTGTTGCCCGTCATCGTTTTTTTTTTTTTCTGAAAATTCAGCCCCTCCAGCCCCTAAAAATGATTCGAACCTGAAATAACGTCTCGAGGCCGTGGGGCCGGGTCCCCAAACAAATACGTACGGACAGATGTCCGCCGGAAAAATTTCGATTTGCCGATTGGCCAATTCGCCACGCTGTATAACGCATAGAGTTTCGCTTGTTATCATTGCATTTTTGATCCATTCCGAATTTCCAATTAGAACATTATATTACATTTAGGTTCGTGCAATATTATCATTGATCATTTTTTTTTTCTTTTACGAGAGACCGATGAACCGTCCGAATTCTTCCGCGATAATCTAAAAGGTCAATCTGAAACGAATGCGGAACTATACGGTAACTACACAATTTACACGAAAAGGCCTGTTGTATATTTTTAGTACCGTAGTACAGTTAAAAGCAAATGTAGGTAGTTTACATTTGGTCACGCGGTCATAATCTTTTAAATACGAACAAACAGTAATATCGCTATAATAGCGTTGCGGCGTATCGTCGCTTATTTGTTTACGTTCGGAAACGCATGTCATTATGCCATTGCATCGTTATTATCGTTGTACTCCAAAAGAAAAAAAAAAGACGTCCGAGGATAATGAAGACGGGTGCAGCCACTGTTATAGGTAATTAACGATAATAACCATTGCTAACGATAAAACGATTCTGAGCGCAGTTCAGTTGATAGGGATGCTTTGTCAACAATATATATATATATATATATATATATGTCATATTATGGTAAAACAATTAAATAGACGTTACATATTTGATTTAATAATATTTGTTTGCAACCGATTTTCCCCATTTTCCTGCGTTTTTTCAGGTTTCACCCATGTTTTTTCCCGGTTTTTTTTACATTTGTTAGGTAAACTCCTAGGAAAATCGAAAAATGGCCTATTTAAAGTATCTCCTCGGTCAGATTTACTTTTAGAAAAAGTGCTATCATTGTAAATTGGAGCAAAACTGTTAGTAGAAAAGTTGTCCATAGAAAAAATAAATCGTAATTTTTTACTAATGTATTTCATACATTTTTTTTGTAAACACATTTTCGGTTAGAAAAATACTTCAATTTTTTATCACGCAGTATCTCGAGAAAGATGCGAAATTTTCGCGCGGTGTTACTTTATTTCAACCATTTATCGCACAATTTTTCAGCAGTTAATCCGAACGGCTTTCTTTTATTATTCCTATGATTTTCGGGTTACCTTGGCAAGACAAGTGGAAAATACGATTAGGTATTACTACTCCACTCTGAATCGTTTATTCGTTTACAACGGTTTTTTCTGGATACAATGTAAAAATAAAGATATTCTATACCTTTCCGACTTTCCACCTACAATTACTGCAGTGGTCACCCGCCCTTATAGACGGTGTTATCTGTGTCCGCATTTTTTCGGTATAATGCGAATTCGATTGTTTTCTACCATTTTCACTCGGTTTCGCGGTCACAATCAGCGAAGGTTTTCCTCGTTATTTGTTTATGTATTTATTTTTGATTTGTTTGTACGGGACACCTTCTGCCCTCGGAACAAAACGTTTTCGGTTTGTGCGGAAATATCGGTCTGAGTGTTTAGTAATAATTATTAAAATTGTACCTGAACTGACGGAACGATCGCGTCCCCGCAAATAGTAACCGATGAAATAATGATAATGATAATAATTTTTTATCCGCGAGACGTCCTTGTGCACAAACAGTATAATAATAGTATTAATAAAAATGTATTAACATGTCGTAGCGTAGGTGCATAATCACTTTTTGCGTCCCTATCACCACACTTCACATCGCATGATTTAGCCTCAACTATTTCCCTGTATAATAATTAACGCTAGTAAAAAAAACAAACATTAAAAACGTCCGTTGTTGTACCGTAGTAGCGATTTGTACGATGCGGTATACGACCACCAGCCGCGTTGCACATCTGTGTGATTAATCTGTGGCTCTGCGAGTGTAACGGTTTTTATTCGCGTATTTTTGTCCGTACGCTTGTCGTCGATCCAAATGTCGAAGAAACAATATTCAAAGAACTTATCAAAATATTTTGTACCGGATGGTCGTAAGAACGTACCGAAGGATTACACGCTGTGATGACGGAGATATAGGTAGGTATTTACCTGTCATCACAATGTGTATGTTTACACAACCATCGGGAGCGCTTTTCGCGATACCGAATTTCAACACGAGAGTCGCCTGTATACGCGTATTTTAATATGCTATTCCCGTCTAACCGTAATAATAATATAATAACATTCATGGTCGCCGATTGACAGAAACATCCGCGAAAAAACAATTTTCCGCGGGAACACGACCAGAGTTGAGGAACGAACGCCCACCGGCGAATAGTTCGATTCCACATCACGAATATAATTTTATCGATACCGGCTATTAATATCCCGTTTAACGGAAGCGTATACCGGAAAAAGGTTAAGAACCGACAAATTGAACCGCAGCGATATCTGATACTCCCGAATATACCGCAGAAAACAGGTCCGTTTCCCCCTCGGCTGTCTAATCATAAAGCACCGTGCATAAACACTCGTAACGATTCTCATGTTTTGATATTGTTCCGATCGAAATCGAATCGCGCAAACTTGTTGATATCACGCTTTCGGTCGAAATATTTAAATTAATCTTTCTGGATTTAATCCCTAGAATTTAAATAATACACAAGCGACCTATGTACAGACAAATTACTAAAACGGCTATACTGTAAACTTTGCGATTTATGATTTAATGTATTTTATGATTGGACAGCCCCAGCTGTCGTCTGTACTATTTCACTATTTCACGTGTACACGCTTTAAAATTTAAATCCGTTTCTATAAAACTGTGAATTTGATCTCCATGTACGCGTGTGTACCGAGTGGTTCATTCAAGTGGGTACACTCATTATCTCGAAAAGTAATTTATGGAATTTTTAACATAGGTTGCCATTTGTAAGTAGTGGTTCTAACCCCCAACAATAAGGGCGACAAAAAATAACATAAATGTAAAACTGTAGAGCCGGCTGTTTCCTAAATGTTTTAGAAAATAAATTCCGAAAAAAATTAATATTTTCCGAGATAGTGAATGTACCCATTTAAATGAATCACTTGGTATTCGCGTATTCACGTATTTCATTATAAACAATTCTATACCGAATCCCTAACATACTCGTAATCAATTCACGTTTTAATTCGAGACCTACTGACTCTGTACCCACCGATATAATACACTGATATAATAATAGTGAGGGATTTGCACCGTTAAATTACACCATTATTGTATGCAATTGTTTCATAATTTTCTCATTGAAAGAAAAATTTTCTAAAATGAGAGGCGAAAAGTATTTTTTTTTTAAGTAATAAAATACTTTCCAGAAATATTCAGAATACTTAAAAATGTATTCAGAATACGGTATTCTGAATACTATATTCGGAATAATACCCATGTCTGCCAGAAACCATCTCTGAAGTCCAAAGTTGGAAAATTTGGACATCGTGCTCCGATGTCGTATTCCGGTAGAAAAATTGTTTACAGACGAGAAGCAAAACAATCATCGTCGTTGTAAAACCACTAGCAACACAAATAATTTCTGATGCTGCTGCTGCTATCATAGGGAGCAATATCCGTGGACGACGATTCTTCCGAGGTCAGTTTTTTGACCCGGCCTGCAGGTAGGTACCTGTTATCTATATAATAACAATCTCGTTTATTTATCGAGTCGACCTAATCAATTTAATAATGAACGTTAACGGGAAAAAATTTATAATAATCAAACGAAATTATTGCACAATATACACAAATAATTTAGTGCAGACTGTTTGCCGCGGATGCCATTGAATTTACTTTTGGCCGATGTTCTCGGAGTGTTATTGAAAAAAAAAGTAAACCCCTCTTCTCTTATTCTCCCGGAATATTGTATGATTAATAGGTAATTAACCCTAGATAATTATGTTATGATGGGTTATTTGTTATTTTTTTTTTATTTTTAAGATTACCTACGTAATTTATTCAAACTACAATTACTTCGTATCATATTGTAGTCAGCGTTCGGCGGTGTAAAAATCAAATTAATTAGGAAGTTATATAATTGTATATGTGATGCAAACATAATATAAATTGAACAAAATCAAGTTTAAAAGTTAAACGTAATGTTAGTTTTAATTGAACTTTTTAATATTAAGTTTTTATTAACTTCACTTATTAGTTTTTTACATTAAAGAAACTGCACACAACCTTTTTTTTTTTTTGTTCTAATCCAGGGTTAGTTTACCTTTCTCGCAGAAATGGCCCAGTTTCGATAATTTTGTTTTTATTAGACAGATGACGATTTCTCACAGGGCACATTGGATTTGGAATATTTTATTTCCAAAATGATTGCGTTTGAGAGAAAAATCCTAAGAAGAATTAAAGGAATTCATTCGGAAGTCAAGCATACTAGGTACATTCAAATACACGATACTGCAGTTTGTGGGTCACGCCTGGCATAATCAGTTTCCACTATTGCAAATGGTATTGGTAGAGTATTCAGAAAGGAAAGGACTATCCCAATTAAAATGGGAAGACTTGGTAAAGATAGAATTTGTTTGTAAAAAATTGAACCTTAACTTACGAAAACAAAAAACGAGTTAATTTTGAATTTCATATATCAATTTAAAGTAAATTCAATTATTTTAATTGCAACACAATATTTTTAATAACAATCAATACATACAATTTGAATAAGTACCACTGTATACAAATTAATTTTTACTCAATAATGTTTATGGAGTTCTGAGTTTAAAATAAGCACTTGGTATGTAATTTTTTATGCCCGGAACAAATAAACCCCTGTTTAGTATTATTGTTATTTTTACAAAAACCAAAAGAAAAAATAATATTAATTTTATCTGCTAGTTAATGCTATTTTAAAATTGACTTATAACTTAATTACATGCAGTTAGTTAACATGAACTATTTCGCTTTTAGCGTATTAATTTGTTTTCAATTAACTTAACTGAGAATATGATGGTATAAATACTCGTCCAATTTTTATGTACAGTGGAAGAGCTTACGAGCGTCATGCATGACTCTGGTTAAATTATTAGAACCGTCTAACTATTTGTTGATAAAAAAAACAACGTTTTCCTTGTTTAATTGTTAAATAAATGACCTTTTGCAAACACATTTAAGCGTATCCAACTGATCCCGCTATCCAAGTATATAATATCCGTCTTATTCAGTTATATACACGTATACCCATCCTTCTGTTAAAAAACCTAAGCTGCCACTGTTTGTGTTTACCATATCCCCCTTTGTAATAGATTAGTATGACCAGCATTTAGTAAATCAATGTTTTTGCGACGGTTGAGAAATGTCCGGACATTGCACGTATCGAACATACAATTTAAACGGTCGAATAAACAATATGTTTATTTGAACAATGGTTCTTATGGCGAAAACGAAACAGTATTAGAGAAACACTTGACGCGTACAAAAACATCGGTTTGTCAACAGTATATACCTGTGTTAAACATAACTAGTATATTGGACGAGCTTTATAAAAAAAAAAAAAAAATAATAAAAATCCTAACAGCCTGTAAGTAAGAAATTTCACGCGCTGTTGTTATTATTCTACAGCAACGTATATTATTCTATAGTATAATTTGTAATAATTTATAAATTCAACGCAGGTTTCTCGGCTGTGAACGCGAACAAAATTAACAGATAATGGTCAAGTATAGGCCGTTATTTACTATGAACTGTAATATTTTTAAATATGAATATTTATATATTTGAAATTGAATTATAAACAAATCGTTGTAGGTTATCAGTTAGTATTCCGAATTATATAACTTCCTGTACAAAATAAACCAAAACCGGCGAAAGTTGATTTTATATAGTGTAAATAATTTCACATTTTAGCGCATTTATTTTATTAAATACTAATAATATTGGCACATTACGAATTTATCCATAATATACTAGATTAACAATAAATATTATACATCAATTCATCCATTCATTCGCCTTGGCTTGGCAGATTTATGGACTTGAATTAATTTAAATCTATGATTGACGATCAAATATTACAAAACATATGGTTGATTAAGAATTTCAAGCAAATTACAGGTAGTAGAACTATAAATGACGTGCATGACTGCATTCCAGATGATGGCATAGTAGAATTAGACGGAGGTGTGTTCTCAGTAAGTATAATTGTGGCACCAGGGTTTAATATCAATGGCTCAGTAACTGATATCATTTTTCTAAAAATGAAAAAATAACATATATTACTATTATTTGCTTATTAAACCGATCTGGTTTAAAAACTATTTGGATTATTTAAATATTGTACACATTTGGAAACAGCGTTGTTTAATTTTCATTGAAACTAATAGAAAAATGTCTATCGGAAACCGGGTGGTATAAAAAATAGTAATTAAATGCTCCAAAATATTGAACGCAGGAATCATTAAATTCAAAAAAAAAAAAATGTTAATATTACTGCTTTGAAAAAAATTGTTTAAAATAAATTTTAAATACATTACTAACCCAGAATTGAAATTTGAGTTTTCAGATCCCACAACAACAGTCAAGGTATCTTGCAGATCTTGTATTTGATCCGATAGGCGTACTTGTTTTGAACAATTTATGTTCATGTTGATTACTAACGTATAATTATTAAAACCCGGTAAAAATCTGTAATATATGTTAACACACTCCATTAGTAGATGAATATAAAAAAACCTCTTATTATTATTAATATTACTATTTTAAATTTTATTAGTGGTCACTATAGGCTTCGGGATTTGCGTTTGCACATTCTTTAAAGTTTAACTACGACTGGAGAATATTTAAAGTATCAAATATCAAAAGTAGGATCTATTTTTATTATGAGACATAACAAATTTAAATACAACAATTTATATTTCAAATTTAGCCGGTTTTTCTACTAACCACATATTCGATCAACTTTTCAGTGTAATTGTTATTTTTAACCTTTTAACATATTATTTACGTTTTATTTTAAGTAAATATATTACCATGCCTTTGAACTTGAAAATATCAAATATTGCGGCTTAATTAATTGACATTTAATTATTTTTACATTAGGTGTTGAAGAGACAAGCCTCTTCTTTTTCATTGAAGGGGCGAGAAGACAAAATAATGAAAATATGTAAACATTACAGAGTAATTATTATTATGTTGTAAATATTGCACTCATCAACTATAACTGTGTCAGCTGTCTGTATTATTATTTGTAGATACATTAAAACAATACAAAATAAAATTTATAAACGTTTATAGTTTCCGGTTTACCTGTTCAGAACGTATACTGTGTCGTTAAAAATGTAAGTGGCCAACCCTCCTCTATTTAAAGTTTCAGTTTGACGTAATTTCATGACTGATTTGTAAAAATTTAAATAACTTTTTGGGTCGTTGCTTTCATTTTGTACATTTCTCGTCTTGTAATTTGTCTGCACCTCAATCCACGGTCCATGCGTATTGTTCGCATCAGTGAAACCTACAATATCGCTTATTTATTTATAGCTGCTAACATTATTATAATCGTCTATCTAGTTCATAACAGTGGCGTATCCAGAATTTTTTTTAGGGGAATGGGCACAAACTGTCATTTTTCTTCGTGTTGAAAATCGAATATGACATAGGTCTCTTTTCAGACATAATTATTGTTATTTGTTCTATAGTTAGTATTTTAGTTTTGAATATAAAAAATGTGTAATAATTACTGCTTACAGAATAATTCAATAATTTACACTATGGTCGAATTTCGCGTTAACGTCAGGCTTATATAATACACATTTTACGTATTTTACGTAACGACCACGGTTGTAGATATACTGAATACTGATAATGGATAACTGATTACACTATTTACACAACGGATTGTGGTACGGAGATCGTCAAACTGTGTCACCAAAACATCTGTGTAACTACTATAACTACTGACTGGCCCCATCTGGAACTCTGGAACGACGTTAATGTAACGTGATAACGGTGATGGTGATTACTGGTATAAACACAGAATATTAATTGGTACAAGATATATGTTAGTATGCGTTCATGTATACGAATAAATATAAATCTTTAAAACAAAAAAATAGTAAATACGTTTAATGAGGGGGGCATGGACCCTGTGCCCCCCTGGATACGCCACTGATTCATAATACCATTACTGTTAATATTATATGATTAATAATAATAATAAAAATAATAAACTATTATTAGGACTGTTGTAGTTTAAAATATTATAACATATTTTAGTACTAAAAATTAACGAATCAGCTTTTTACATTTATTGTTCCACTGTACCTGTGTATTTTGTGTCATCCCACTGCATGGGTGATCTTGAATAGTTTACGTCAGAGGGTATATCTTCCATACCAAGTTCTTGTCCGTAATAAATTATCGACACACCAGGTAGAAACAATGAAAGAGCATTAATTCCATCGATTAGTTCTGTACCAAACCTAGTAGGAATTCTTTTCCAATCGTGATTTTGTAACTAAATTGAAATATAGAATTATTAATTAATTATTAAATTGGGAGCCTACACTTTTCATAAAAAAAACTATCAATAAATATTTAATGTTCATTGAATTACTATATATTTTTAGCGCAGGCACCTACCAGTAATAACTTAATTTAAATAAACCGGTATGTATTGAATATTAGATTCTGAGTGCAGTGAGGAATGTATTGGTCTTATTTTTTATTTTTTTTTCTATTTTAACAATTTGTATACCAGAAATTTTCATCGATTTTAAACTGTAGTATCTTTTCTACAAAACAAATATTTTCTGGTTGATTCATCGGGGTGGTCATTTTTTGATTGTTTCGATTTTCTTGATAATCGGGAAAAACATTGAAAAAAGTAGTAAAAACGGACATTTACAGTAATATTGCTTGCACTATTTTCGATTTTCTTCTTTTTTTTTATATATATAATTTGGTTAAATATAAGCTGAAATTAAAAATAATAAACTCTTTTGACTCGGGACTCGGGACTCGGGACTCTACTGGTAATTTTTCGGTATCCTTAATGTTATTGCACCGTTGTTAGTATATACAAATCGTTGGTGACCCCACCCGTTAAAAGAACTAAGAAAGTCTGAACACAATACGGCCATGTATGAAGTGGCATCTACAAAGTTTCAAGCATTCGCACTCTGCACAAATTGAAATTACGGTCATTGAAAATATAAATGTCCGAAGGATAAAATTATGTCCCAGGAACATAATATATCCAAAGAATATAACTATATTTTATTTCTACGATATTGTAACTATATGGTTTGGCAGACTGGTCACAATATAATGATATTATATAGTTGATCAATTGTATTTTTATAAATTCCACAGACCTATTTATTGCATATAATTAATACACTATTTTTTTTTAAATTTCAGACATTTTTTATTGACTATTTTTCCTCCGGACATTTTTCTATGATTTTCATATTTATATAACTTTGTAGCATATTTTCATATATTATTGAACAAGTAACTAGTATACTTTTTTTTGTAGTTAATCGAAGAAATATGAATAATAATAAATAAACATTTCATTTTGGTTTTGTTTTTTTTTTTTTTTTTCATTGAAATCATAGAAATCATGACTCGTCACCACGCTATTGACAAGGTTTATCGTGTATACGTATATATATCTATCCTCACCACTACATTATATATTGCTCCATTTGGCATTTGAGTTATCCAATTCCGTATTTTACTATCAATGACACTAACATTACGTACAGGTTTAGCGTCCATAAGATTAAAGTTTGATGGTATTTGAGCGCCTTTTTCGTAATATTTGAATAAAATATTATTTGAACTAAATGATTCAGTCATTATTATCCTGAAAAAAGAATATTATATCAAAAAAATACCTTTATTTATATTAATAATTATTATTGCAGTAAAGCATTGTGTGCACCAATAGATAACACGAAATATTTCACTCGGTTGGACTTAGATTGAAGCAGAAAGTTTTTAGGAAAATTGAGTGAAGTAAAATAATTGTATTTTTAAGATTTAAACTCTAGCAGCAATTACGCTTGAATCAAAACTTACATTTTCTTAAACACAAATGTCAATTTTTAATATTAGATACGAACAGTTCTCCTCAGAAATCAATAAATACTCGTATAAACCCAGTGTATCGACAACTGCTGTCTTCTTCTTTTTGAGCTTTTACAGTCACCTAAGGACTTTTACTACCTCTACTCTCATTCTTCCATCTGCTACTAACCACTCTATCTACTATTGCTATTCCCGAGTGAGCACATTTTTGTTAAAATCAGAACTCTAAACCGTTATCAATTTTTACGGTTTCAGTTTCGGTTTGCAATATTTTTCGGTTCTGATTTTTAAATCAGTTTTTGGAATTAGTAATAAAACGGAATAAGTAAACGAGAGTGTTAAAAAAACTAAAAAGATATTAAATTAAATATATTCTGCTTAGTATGCGTTTCAGCTAAATGTCAATCAGGACTGTAGGCCATATATGCTACAGTTGTCTATAGGCCTATACCACACTACAGTTGGCCGTGGCACACGAGAATTCTTATAAAAATAACCAACCAGTTGTTTATGCAACCTGGTATTAGTCTATCCGGCTGAAATGTGTTGATATTTGATTGAAGTTGATTTATAATTAGGAGTAAATGAAAATTACATTATTCCATTAAATTTTTTTTTTTTTTTTTTTTAAAGAATATTTAACATTAACAAAAATGAATAAATGAAGAAACTGTAAAAATAAATTGTTATTATATATCTAGTTACCTACCTTGTATTATTATAAGGTTTTTTAATATCATCCATTAATAAACGCCATTGCTCAATCAAATCATATACTTCTTCTTGATCAACTGTATAAATATGGTCTAAATTCATGTAATCTACCAACTTAGTAGGATCAATAACAGGTTCATCTAGTAAATCCTCTGTTTCATAAACGTGTTTTAAAGCATCTACTCGAATGCCATCAACTCCTAAATTCAGCCAATAATTCAAAACATTCCTCATTTCCTTTTGAACATCTTCGTTGCGAAAGTTTAAATCTGGTAAATTTGGTGCAAACTGAGTAAAATAGAATTGTTTACGAATAGGATGCCAAATCCAAGCGGAGGTGTCATTACCGTAACTGCAAATCCTTTTCTGCAATTAGTTATAATTAAACGTGATAATATGTATTCACTATCTGTAGAACATACTTGTATAATTCAATAGGCGTATAATAATGATATTAATGTAGAAACTGACTATGATTTATTTAGTTTTATAAGGTATTTATAATATGTAATAGGTTTCGTTAGTTTATTAGATTACTGTACGAATTTAAGATTTATAAATAACCCACGAGCTATATTAAATCTGATGTTGACGTCATCGCAAAATTATTATCGGAATTAGTTGACATAGTTACATGAGTGAACGACTGGTTAAATAAACCCAGATCTCTAGCCTCCAAATTTTGGAACTTTAATTCTTTCATTACCACTGTTCATTTCAATGGATATGACTGTTTAGTCATTACTGGGAGTCAATATTTTGAATGAACAATTGATTAAATCGTTTAATGATATTTATGTTTCAATGGAGTAGCGGAATGATTAAACTTAAATCTATGCTATAGAACACAGTTTAAAATATAAATAAATTTACAATATAAAATTACTATGTATAAATGTAAAACTGTGTACCTATGAACAATATTTGTTTTACGTTGTGCCACGGAGAACAAATTTTATACTGTGTAAAATCTCGAATCTCGGTTATCTGTACTATATTAATTCATGGGTTAACTATAAACAAATAGATTAATTCTGAAGGAAATATAAATATTTCCTAAATTTATTTATATATTTATATACAAATATTAACCATTTAATAATATTGTTTTTACTTTATTATTTTATTAAATATTTCTCGTTTGCGGTTATAAATATCTACCACAAAACAACCGAAAGAAAGTTATTGATTTTGGAAGCATGTAAATTTGATTTTAATTTTTTAGAATTTAATTATAAGGTAACATACTCCATAATTTATTTTAAGAATGACTACTACTGTGTCTATTGGCAAACCACGAGGTTGGTAGTTTAAGATATTGTTAATATAAAAGTAATCCCTCCTCTTTATTATAGCATATATTATAAAATACTTAAACACGTGTATAACTTCAATTCATTTATAATATGAGTGATTTACCCAGTTATTTGGAACTTCAGGTTTTATCTCGTTGTTTTTCAATACTTCAGCTTGATTTTTGGCATCTTTCCATATATAAAAGTTAGCATATTTATCATTTTTTTTGATAGAATTTGTGAACCAAGGGTGTTCATCGCTTGTGTGATTAGGAACGAAATCCATAATAACTTTTATATCTACAACGAAATTATTTTATAATTATTAATTTATCATTGAATGATGAGTTGTATGAGAGACTAGAAAAAAGTAGGTTAATCGATTATCTAAAGTTTGAGAAACAAGATTCAAATATATGGTGTATAAAAAGTATTATCGATAAGAATATGAAAAAGTTAGTGAACAAAATGTTAAAAATTGACCGAGGTGGTTTAGATATGACGTAAATGAGAGAAATCGAAAACAGTAATAATGTTAATGAAAATAAACGTAGGAGAAATGAGAGAAAGCTGGACTGATAAAGAGACAATCTAAGACGATTTAGAATAATATGAGAACTGCTGGTGTGTGTGAGGATGATGTGAAAGATCTGTTTATGTGGATGTTTATGGTGGAGAGGACTGATTTCAAATTGTTGAAATTAGAAGAAGAAGAAGAAAATGAATTATAGTTTAATAAAATATTATTAAATTAATCAGTGTAATACTTTTTTTGTGTGCCTCGGATAAAAGATCTTTAAAGTCATCTATTGTACCAAAAACTGTTTGTACATTGAGATAATCAGTTATATCATAGCCACCTGATTTTAATGGTGATTTCATAAATGGCGTTAACCAAATTGCAGTCACTCCTAGATCTACAATGTAATCCAATTTTTCGATTACACCTAAAAACAACATATTTAAACGTATTTACAATCTTTTAAACCTTCAATAAATAATACTAATAAAAAATACCTTTAAAATCACCCGATCCATCGCCATCCGTATCTTTAAAAGACAACAAGAATATTTCGTAAATTACTGAATGTTCCCACCAATCAGTATTTAAGGAGGTGGTTGGTGGTGCAATATTTCCACAATACGTAAAGCGTATGCATGTCACTAACCAAAAAATATTCCACCAATACATTGTTAGGGGAGAATCGACCACCTAAACAAAAATAATTTATCTCAAGTAATGCAATTTCAATTATTATGGCATTAAAATAAATGCAAAAACAAACTCGATGACAACATTATGGCAAAGCCTCAGATTTTTACAAATATGCTTGGAACAATACTTAGATGACCGGTTTTCCCACTAACCTGGGACAGTGTCAGTCATAAATTAAGAGACTTAAATCGTATTTTAGTTATTTAAGAAAATCGTTTAAATAATCGTTAAAACTTTTACCATAAATAATTATCTACTGGAGATAACATTTTTCCTCGGTATCAGTGATAGTAGGAAATACTCGTATGCAACAACGCACTTATGTTAAATACATTTAATTATGTTATACATACCTACCTGTCTAACTAGTTTACTATTTCATCATTGAGTTTCGTGGCGTTACAAATGAAAAATGAGTGTTGGTTGTTTGTATTTGTTAACTGTTATAGATTATTCCACTTACTACACCCATTGGTTATTAATTATCTCATATATCGCAATAGGTGAGTACATTAGGGCCAACAGTTCTACAACCCTTTGGTCAAATTATCAATTCAATTTAATTGAATTATTGTCACCAATAATTTAGTGTCCGGATTTTAAATTATGAAAAAAAAAAAAAAAACAAAATTAACTTGTAATTTTTTTTGTAACTCAAGTTTCTCATTTTATATAATTATCCTATATTTTCTTACTTTATATACACAGAAAACCGATTATATTCTATTACTCCACCTCAACTGTTATTGCGGCTCAAACTATAAACGTTTTTCAAGGATTCTCAGAGTGCTATAGTCAAATTTATTCAAAATAGTTTCATGATAAATAAGAAAAAATATTTGTCTAACATGTGTTTTCATCGGTTTTACTAAAAACCAATTGGGATCTTCTTTAGAGCCTTGCTGATCGTTTAGAGATAACAGCAATAAATTATTATTTATTTATTCAGTATTTCACATTAAATATAATTCATACAAAGGCAATACAATACAACCGATATTAATAATTAATGGTAGTAAAATAATTCACTGTCATATGGGAGATAGAGGAAATACGGACAAACAGGCAAAATCATAAATTAGCTTACACTACTTATGCTTATAGGTGTGGATTTTACCGGTAAAACATTTTTCGGTAAATTTACAAGTACAATTTACGTAAAATTCGGTAAATTGATAAATTCCTCATGTCTTGACTACTGCGAATATTGTTCACTAGTATTAACTAATATAATAACTAATTACTAATTGATATGTTCTTATTCTTTTTTTTATTAAAAAAAAAAAATGTATAATATGTGTTTCTGTGTACCGATTATACAGTACACTGCATGTGTATTTTTATTTATGTATCTTAGTCTTTAGATAGTAATATTATCTAATAATATTATTGTAAATGGTCTAAAGTTATAACACTAGGAAAACATTAAGAATGAGGAGTCACTCGATTTTATAAACGGTAAAAAAAAAAGTTTGGATAATAAACATCTCGGTAATATTTACGTAAATTTACCGAGCGCTCATCTCTGTCTAAACTTTATAAAAGCAAAACGTAGTGAATATAAATAAAAAAAATAAAAAAAATGTTAAATATCAATCGCTATGCATTGAAATAACAATATTTTAAAAAAATGATTTAAATAAAGCCAAACATAGTGGTTAAAACAAACAGAAAATTAGATATATTTAAGTAAAAATAATTAAATTTATTACTTATTAGTATTTAAACGAAAATTAGAATACAGAAATAAATATGTCTTACTTGTACGGCTGTATGATGTATATTAGGATAGTGTAAAATCCTTATGTATCGGTTCACAGCAAACCCATTCGAATGAAACAATCACACAAAATACAAAAGACACCTACCTATCTATCTACCTACCTATTTTATACGTAAATTATTATTATGTTAACCAATCGTTTATGGCAAATGTTTATTTTTTTACACCATCAAAGTTATAAAATTTAATTCGTCTTTAAACCCGCGTGTGTTAATAGAAGTACGGGAAAAAATGTTTATTATATTGTTTGTTAGATAGACAGAAGATTTAGTATATTATCACCACGTGTTATTCTAATGCCGATAAAAGTTAAATTATACTATGTAACTTTTTTTTACAATACTGATGATAAAAAAAAATAAATAATAATTTTTGATAATTTCCGCTATAGCTTGAACTACATCGGATTAAGATTACAAAGCTATAAAGCTATTCAAACATCATTGAAGTGCAACGATTAATCTTTGGTAACGAACGTAATTCGATTACGCATGTTTTAAAATGCCACGTTATACATTTCGAATATTTTCCCGTTTACCGGGAACATCCAAAACCAATATTCAGTGGCAGTGAAAATGTCCACAGAAAAAAAAAAAAAAATTAAAAAATAAACATCTTTGTAAAACCATAAACTTTTTCGCTCCATTCAGAATCTAAAATGAAACGGTTACACGCCCCAACAAGTAGAACCGTCGTCGCACGTTTCTCGTTCGGAATCTAAAATCGGTACGTTTTTTTTCGACGTGTACCTTACGCCGGGCCGTCGTGTCCATTAGGCGTACGGCATTGCGGTCATTACCCGCATCATCGTACACGATGATCGAACACGCGAAAACACCGTGCCGCGAAGCTAAAAAACGATCGCGATTACGGTAATAACCGCGTTACCGCATAGTGTTTTTGGTCGACCCAGTTACGGCGTCCGCGGAATTTCGCGCGATCCCGCACGGCGCGCGCGAGACTTTTTTCGTCCGGCCGTCGGATGCGGAAACGGAAAACGGTACGTCCGGTCGCGCGACGACGCTATTACTACGGGCCGTCGTCGCGGTCATCGCCGCCATGGTCCGTATAACACGCGACGACACAACGAAAATAATAATAATAACAATAACAATAATTGAACACGAGTATCCGTAACGCGTCGTCGACAAAGGAATCGTTCTTTCTCCGTGTTCTTTTATGTTTTTTTTTTTTTTTTTTTTATTTTTTTTCATCACGAACCGTTCGAAACCCGGTAACACACACACAATGTGTAATCGCAGACGGTAACCGCGGTGGCGGCGGACGTCACGCGTCCGAGTATTATTTTGATGTAATGTTATTTCATTCGCCCGCAGGGACGTTTCCGAGGTAGAATATGCAGCGAGAAATTGAATGTGTTACTGTTGGCAAAAATTAAACACTGCTAATGAAAAACGATTCTGGGCGGAGCTCGGTAATAGCATTGCTTTTCAACAATATATATCAATATATTATGTACATTACATATTACAGTACAATAAATATTATATTGAAACAATTTGTGTGGACCAATGACTGGATTTCACATCATTTATCACTAAAACAATTTCCGTCAACATTTGGTTACAAATAAAGTTCATATATGTAAAAAAACATTATTAACAACATTAAATTAATGTTTTTTTTTTTGATTTCAAGCATTTTTGTTATGTCTAACAATTTTATTCACAGATTACCTACTGAATAAAAATTACTCACACAATTAAAGTGTCTATAATGTGCTTAAATATAATATGGTTCAAATTTGTTTACAGTTTTACCACGTAAAAATAGCAAATATAAGTTTTCTGCCCAAATTTTAAGTCTCTATGAATATTTTAAACTGAACTACAACAAATAACACAGTTGAAAATAATATGACTATGCCGATATAAGTCCACTTCTCTCAGGGGAGAGGAGCGATTGCCCAATCGCCCCCCCCCTTCCATAGGGACGTGCCTGGTCGCTCGAGATCCTGACGTTTCGCCGTCCTTTAAATACGTATTATAATACAGGGCGATTACCGTCGGAATTTAATGTTATTTCATTATTCTTCGCAATTAAAAATATACTTTACTTTGCGACGCGCTCGTGTTTTGTCACCGGACACGCTCAGGAAACGGTCCGTCTTTCAGCGGCTTTTTCGAAAAACTCGGCTAATTTGTGACGACCGTTTATTTTTCGACGACCGCGGCGCACTACGCGCAATACGTACGCGGCGAACGACTGTACCAATAATTTTCGATCGCCGGACGCATTTGATTTCTCGTTCATACAGGTCGATTCACTTAGAGCGTTTGTCACATTATTTTTTTTTTTTTTTTTTTTTTTTTCGGTTAAATTGTATATATTCAAATTCTGAGCGTATTTAAAGCCGATATTTTCGAATACTTAGATTTTCGTACAACATTTAAAGAGTTTTTTTCCTGTGGCGATAGCAAACTTTAATTTTCCAAATGAGAAACTATATTTAAATTTCAATAAATAGATGGAGTATTACTTTAAATACATTTCGGTGTGAACATTTTTGATTTCCGTCAACCCGTTAACGATATATTCCACTTAAAAAATTCCAAAAATCCGAATTTGAATACATGCAAAATTTAACTGAAAAAATAGGGTAAACCCTATTAGGGCCCTGTATAATTATATTTTTTTTTCAGATTCTAAGCAAGGCAAGGAGTTTATTAGCTATATTTACTATGATGTGCGCTTTTATTATTTATACAAACGACTTTTCTAATCAAAAATCTTTTAGGTTCCTGAAGTTAGCGGGAACTTGAAAAGTACTAATTCCCGTAACACCGCCAAATTCAAGTGCTCAATTAGTGCGTTCAGAATATATAAAAATACAAATGTGCGCTCACTCCTAACCCGAGTTACCGTTATTGATAATTCTCAACTTAAGTATTGGTATTATAATTCTTCAGTCATTTATCACGCTGAAAATATTGGTGTTGTCATATAGGTAATATTATAGTCTTAAAGTTTTTTTATTATCTTTTATTTATTTAAAGACACTGTTTAATATTTTAAATTATGTATACATTCTCGAGTTTTGGTTGACTGTCGGGTTATGGCACTCACGTCCCACTATGTACAAACGCTATTTTCTTCATGTCAGTCTATTTGCTTAATATCTTGTACAATGTGTATACTTATACTATGCATCACCAACTTATTAGAATTATACATACACTTTGTAGTATAATAGTAGTACGTAGTACGCAAACTCAGACATATAAGACGATATTTTACAAACAAACAAAGTAGACGTTCAAATGGACAATACTATACAATTTAATAGTATAGTAACACAAGAACAAATATTATCCCAAACTCCTAAAGCAATATGCACAATAATTGAAAAACCGTCATCGTTATCACTCCAGTTGCCATAAAAAAAAAATTTAAAAAAATTAAGTAAATGTTTGAATTCAGACTCGGAGTAGTTAACAATTTCATTGGACCAAATTTCATCTTCATCAAAAATTGGTTTAATTCGAAATGGTGGAATCGTAATTAGTGGCTGTGGTAGCCAAAGAAATGAAAATGAAGTTACGTATAATTCGCCAAATACATGCGGATTTTATTCAATCGTAAAATTAATAGCAGTTTCTGTCTGTGATAGCAGAAAACTATGTTATACGGTTTCAATATTTCACAATATTCCTGGAATTGCGTTTGCAATTGATGTATCTAAAACAAATAATATCAATAAAAATATATTAAACAAAATATTTGATATTTTAAAAGATATTTTTAGTACAACTGATATGACAAACAATATGAAAAGAATAAACTACGATTGTAACGTAGTTGGAATTCTTGGTGATTAAAGCATTCATTCCTTAAAAGAAATTAAAAAAAAAATGTTCAAATGCCGGTTATAAAAACCTCAACCAGCTAAACCTATTCTTCCTCGCTTGGTATACAAACCGTGCCACTCTTATTCGTGCACAGCCCAGAACAAAATGTATTTCTTTCATTCCCAAGGTAGACATGTCTGCCTTAGCATTCTCTTCTTTAGTACACTTGTCCTTTGTTTCGTTAACTGTTCTCTGCCAAAAGTTCCAATTTCAAGATTACGACTAAATACTATGTACGCATTTGATTAATTTATTAAACGATTTGAATACAAAATTACAAATATATTTGTTTTAGGTCCACGATGACATGAATAATAATATCTAACGGGTCAGATCATCGAAATATGTCATGGTTGTATTATTATAGTTTACCGAATAAACTTTAGATTTGAAAACTAGAACGGTATTGTAATAATTAAGTTATCGTAATAAATATAGTAATAAGTCATTATTTTTTTTTTTTCATTTGTACATACGAGAAGTGGATACGTTTGCAATTAACAGGAGGTATTTTTAATAAGCTAGTTCGGTTTAATCGATTTTCACTCGTCTACCGGAACTCGAGTTTAAACGGAGTACTGATTTCTTGATTCGTGGATTGTGTTTCGGTGTTTTCGTATCGAAAATCGGACTGTTTTTCACGGGTCGCCTCGCGAGCGAACACAGGAATAAAAAACCGTTCGGGTCTCGTTGGCGGGGAATTGCCCGTTTTAACAAAATATAAATCGGCCGGGCGGCGACAAGAATTAACCGCGATCGGGACGGGGGCGGGCGGGAACGCGCGGGCGAACGCGGGAAGACGCGTTTTCAATTCCGCCGTTTATCGTTTTCGCTCGGCGTAGTCGCGTGCGCGGTCGGCGTTTATCCGTGCAGTATCGGACGTTCGCCATTAACACGGCGAGACGATTGCTGCGCGAACAATGCGGGTGAAAATGATCGCGATAAAAGCGCTACGCCGAGCGGACCGGGTCCGGCTGCGGGGAACAGTGTACGCGGCGTACGCGATGTTGAAGTCCGCCGTTTCGGGAATTCTAACCAATTATCGAAAGCGAACCCCGACCGCAGCAATATAAATAGAATTGGCGAGGTTTCCAGACACAAAGGGCGAGGGCACTCGCGTCGCGTCCGTGAATAACTTGCAATCAACACTGTGTCTGGCCGCGGCTGTCAAACGCGCGCTGATGATTTTCGGAATAATCCCACCGTTAATAATATTATCATGTACATTTTAAAATACGGGGCGAAACCGCAGACATTTTGTTTTGCGGGCAAAGCGGACGCGGCAGACTCTCCGGACGACGGAATAACCAGAATCACGCGGTGATTATTTTCGTATTATTTATTATTTCATAATAACCATCGTCGCGTTATATTTTTCTTTCATCACGGTCCGGCGGGCCGGGACGATAATTCGCTCGACGCAATTATAATATTGGGAAAAAAATAAAAAAAAATATATGTATACAATAAACCATCCAATAACATGGTTATACAATATTATTACCGAGTCTGCTAATTGGCGACTTTGTTCTCGGGCTTTCGGCGCGGTCTAAACCGCCGGAGACAAACAGCGAGTGGATAACAGTGTCGGCGGACACCGCGTCTACCAGAAAGTGTAGTACGTGTCGGTGGTCCTCGACCATTTTGGACTCGCGACTTACTTTTTTAGACGTACATTGTTCGCGACCCACGTAAGGCGTGCATAAAGAAAAACGTTCGTAGAAAACCAAAAATCTAAAATTACTTAATACTTTGTAGTTGTACCTGTTAATAACCGAATGAATAAAAGTAAAAAAAAAACTTTTAAACGGATACGTAAATACGAATAGAATAATAATAACGCGACCAACATTTATTCGTCTTTGCACACAGTGACAACATCGACAGTGTTCGCAGATTGTGAGACTATTTAACGATAACGATATAATACATTTGTTTTATTACTAGCCCGGTTTACTCGTAAATTATTGTATTCAATGTCACACTACGTACAGACATACCAGTATATGAAACGTGTACTGTGATTTGAAATCCATTATACTATTATATTTTTCAATATAAATCACATAGTATTGTCTGTACATAATATATTACAATAATTTTCAAACTGTGTTTGCATTTGTTAATTTTCCAAGTCTAATAATTAAACAATTATATATAACCTTATGACTTATATAATTGTATAAAATTAGTTTTTTATTTTAAAAAGAAAGCCTATCGGCGACCCGATTTTCAAGCTTACGCGACCCGCCGGTTGAAGACCACTGGTGTACGAGGGCTAATCGAAAAGTGTCAAGACTGGTGGTATCATTCGGAAAAGAAGCATCGAAGAGCAGTAGGATTGGTATCGCTTGCTAACTTGTATTTATCTCACACCATAAACACTATAGGTAATTGATCCGCAGTCGCTTGTCGAGTGTATTACACAGTGTTAAGTGTGTACCAAACTAAATATTTACAAATTAATTAATAATATTTTAACTATAAACTACATAAACGATTAACTATGATGGTTATAATGATTTATTTACATTGTTATGGAAATTTCATTTAACACTTACCACATACTATGAATAAATGTAAAAATCGAAATTCAAAAAAAAAAAATCGGTCGACGTGGTCGGTTAAATCGGGAGATTTTTTTGTTACGACGGGTCCAACGTGTTTCACACATGCAATTTTAAAATAATACTCTTTTATATGAAATGGAATAATTTTCGTTTATGAGGTGTGCGTGGGTTCCGACGCGAGTTTGAGAACTACGCCCACATTTAACAGTAACTACCTGCCCAGTACCATAGGTATAATTAGGTATAAGAGTTTGTCGTACGGAAAACGGAACGGAATAGTGGATTATTCAAAGACTCCGAAATCGGTTTTTAATTTGTCCTTAAAACGTATATCGTATTACACTTTAATTCACGTCTTCACATAGATTCGGGTTATAGTAGCTCAGATATCACGTTGAAAACCCTTATCAAAATAGGTAATTTAGTTTTCAAAAATAATATGTAATTATAAATAAATGCAGTGCTCTTATTTTATATTCGATAAACACATACAAAATTACACGTTGGAATCGAATTTTATGTTGTTGAAATTCTTTACGAATAACTATAAAAAAAAAAAAAAAAAATCAAAAATCTATACAGAATCTATAAAAACGCACATTGTATAATATCATGTCGATAAAATTCTAAGTGCAATAAAATTCATGGTTTTTTTTCGACAGGAACGAAGAAAGAAATAATTTTGTTGAAAACAACTCATTATAATTTTTATTTAAGTACACTGAGTACTGACCGTTTTTTAAATACTACTTTTCTTATACAATATATCGAGTTTAAATCATTTTCGGGATTAAATTTCCTAATCGTGCTGATATGTGAATGACGGTTTTGGAGCAGATTAATATTTTGGTCGGACAAAAGCACTTATGTTCGTAACACGATATGGAATCCTCTGCTCCTCCTTCTAATCGAATGATCGGGGGCGTCTCCAGACCTTGACTATGAAAGGGGACGAAGTAATTAAATTTAATATAAACGATTGATAATAAAAAGACGGACATACTTCGCATGATGGGTGGGCCACTGTTGTGGATGAGAATTTGAGAAGGTAGGATATATATCGCTACACTCAGAATCTAAAAAATCATGTCAAATAATTAATAGATATAATTAATATCTATTATATCATTTATACCTACTTCTGGACCAATGACTATGCCAAACGCCAATGTAAGTACACTGCTCTCACTTCTCTTTCAGGGACGCGTCTGATACAAATGGTCTGTATAATAACAATAGTAGCTAAATTATATAATTTAAATTGTTTTTCTTTGTGTGTATCAAAGTTTAACCAATCTCAGAGATCTATCGCTTAAGACAAATGAAAAGTGCATTAAAATCGCTGTTTCATAGATAAAACCCGCCTATTTAAAATTGCGCATACATCGCAAACGTCGTGTGCAAATTTTGAAAATAATGATAATTTTTTTTTTAAAATTTTTATTAACCGGCCTTTCGGTTTGTTTTTCGCGTGTAAACGCATTTTCGCTGTTGTTGCCCGTTATTGTACGGAAAGACAGAGAGACGGACAACTATGTCACTGCGACGGCCTCTTAAGGTCGTCTACTACACAACGTTATTACGATGTTATACACTGATCCACCTTTCCACCACCCGCGGGCATACGCGTTTTACAAAACGCCTCGCGTAATTTACGGATCGACTGTAGAATATTATTATATAGACGCTGTCGCGATAAAAACAAACAACGACAACAATATTGTGCATGTATATTTATATTTATTATCGAACACGCAATAGTTAATAACGCGGAGACAATATAATTATTAATGTAACAATGTTATAATAACATTAACAATTACAGCGTGACACGTTATACAGCGATAGAGCAGTTCAAATGTTTAACCGTATGCGTTTGTATTATATATTTTTATTGATGGGTTCAAGCCGTTGTCGGAAGGCGTCGCGTCGGTCAGGTGCGTGAAGCTGGCACCACAAAGTTCACAAAAAATCAAATAAATATTCCAGAAATCCCTACTCTGAGTTGTTGGATATCGTTGGATGGTTGTTCGAATTTGTTGGAGAAAATTTAAAAAGTGATTCAAATTTGAAATTATTGGTGCCAAGTACATGACTAACATTACATTGAGCTTTAAAGTTTGAAAAGTTCATCCAACAATGTTGTTATGGGTTTGATGGTCATTGTTGGATGTTCGTTGGAAAATGTTCAACAAAATTAAAAGCCCTGTGAATAAAAAAAAAATGTTGTGCTGAGAAGTTGGCACCACATTGTATGAAACAATATTACAACTCTACAACAAATTAGTTCAGACCATTTTATTGGTTAAATAAGTTTTGACCATATTAAGTGAAAAAAAAAAACCAACCAATTATCATTTATTCGTATTAAAATTGCCTGTTTTCCTCCAACACCGCAAGTTACTCTATCTTCCATATAATGATCCAAAAAGGATTATTTTACACTTTTAAGTTGAGATGACTTTCAAAAACGGTCCAATAAATTAGTTTTGATATTTATATTAAAAAATAAACCATTCTATAGAATTTAGAATTCAATTATTTCGATTTTTAAAATGATTTTTTTTTTTAAATCTTCTATATTTAAACGGTAAAAAAAATAAAGGAAGAATATAATCAGTACGGCCGGCTTTGCCGTGCTGAACAGCTGGTTTTAAAATGTGGGTAACCTTTTTGAGAAATGGCCCACGATATTCGCTCGTATGTTTATTATTATTATTATTATTTTTTTATTTTTTCGACAAGCACAATACTCAGTCACCTGCGTATTGTATTTCAACACCGGCTTGAATCGTGGCGTAGGCATTGACGATGGGCGGCAAGTGCTTCAGAAAAATAACAATTTGTCGTCATATCGTGTCTTATTTGATGTTCGGGAGCACCGGTGTTTTTTTTTTCAACTAAGGTCGTATTACGATTTTACCTACAGGTTATGGCGGTAGGACACGGTCCACTGTACAACAGCAATATTGTATTCGAAATATTTTTACGGTTCTGTCGTGCGACTTATACTCGAATGTATATAGGTATTTGACATTGACCGAAAACAACAATATGCAGGTAAATCCGCCTACGGACGAGACTGTCGCTACAATCACACAGGATTTAGATTAAATTGCCACCGTGTATATCGTAATATCATAAACATACTTATACATACTTATATACAATATAATAACATACTATGATAATGTCGATATAAATTATGACGAGGACGTCCTCCAAAACTGCCATGTTAATATAACGGAACACCGTTATTTTACGTTATCGGTGTTAATAAAGTTAACCATTCAGTCCGATTAAACACCTGTAAATTCAATTATTATCGAATCCGCGATGAAACAACAGTTAGTCGAATGCGGTTATTGATACTTCCACTAAATATGTTAAAATCGATGTTACGAAATACTGCGGATATAAATGTGACCGTTTTTTCGAAAAAACAAAAATAAATAAAATAAGCTGACACAGAAGTTGTTGATCACACTAAATATGATTTGAAATGCCAAACAAATTTGAGTTTATAAAAAATAATGTATTACTTAACGCTTAAAAATGATTATTTAGACCCGCTTAAGTTGTGCAATATAAGTACAAGACTGTAAATTTAATATTATGTAAAAGAAATTTAAATCGACTTAACGCGCGATATAATTTAAAACAATAATTCTATGTGACATAGGTGGTCCGTTACTGGGGCGCAATCCATAATAATCTATCTACTCCTACTATTTCGTCTTCGTCCCAACTATTCAGGGTCAGTCAACCTTGTTCTATGCTTCCACTTTACTCGATCTCCCATGTCATCCTCGCGTATACCATCCATTTAAGCATTCTAAGCTCTACTACACTTATTCTTTGGTCTATTTTTCTGTATACCATTCAAAACTCCGAACAATACAACATATTCGGTTTCACCACTCTTGTAGAACTTAACTTTAATAAGTCTCATTCGAATTCCTTGTCGCATAAAACATCTGACACTTAACCCAACTTAATCCTCACTTAATCCCACGTTTCACATTCATGAAGTATGTTTGGCTTTTATAAGTAAATCTAAGAAATTATAATTATTAGTGATTGTTAATCATGTTTCTATATTATTCAAAATTATAATATAAAATTGAATATTACGTTGGTACTCGATATTAAATAGTGCCTGCGTATATTGTAGTGTCACTAGGCAACTTACTGTTCAGTGAATAGAGCAGTCCGATTTATTGCATGCCTAACATACTAGCTATCATTACTTATGGAATTTAAAATAACTTCACAGCAATAGTACTGTACTTTTGATAAGGTTTGATAGAATTTTTTTTAACCAGTACAAATGTAATACAAACGATTATCACGGGTTTTCATTTCTACAAATAACTCTGGGTGGGAGAGCTGGAGACATAGAACCCAACAAAACTGCATTGATTTTAACCGTTATGTACTTTTACAAAGTGTATTTATTATTATATATTACTTTGAGGGGAAATTGTTGTTGTTTTATTTTATTAATTTCAATATTCTTCGGACAACTCAGAAACGAAAAAACAAAATAGTTTTTTTTATATATTTTATAATTTTAATCAATTTACGGGTACAATCCAATATACAATAGAATTATACGATAACAAGGTGCATCATATTATATACATAAAAAAAAAAAAAACCAGTACATGTGCAACATGTATAAGTGAAGATAAGACTGTGTATATATATACATATATATATACACAACATTAATTAACTTTTAATTAGTGAGGTTTTAAGAACAACAACGAAACAGTAGATATGTACTGTGATTTATTACGAAGAATTTCGTTTTTAAAATTATATAATGTACTGTTTGAAGTAAATAAGTAAATAATCAAAGTTCCCTACGTCCATAGAAATATTTCCTGGTGAGTATTTGATGTAACTATCAGAGATATTTGTGAAGTAGATCAATTTTTTTTTTCCTAATGACAGATTTGAGTTGCATTTAAAATTGATTTTGTCTAATATTTTAGAACAATGTACACTTATTTAATTCTTTGATAGTATAAATGTAAATAACACGTATAGTTAATTTCTGTAGTTTCATTTCAAGTTCCGTTCAATTTTGTCAAAAATATTTATTCATTTAAAATTCGATTCACTGTGATGGTACGGTTTTCTCCTGCGTTTCTGCACGGTTATCGCTACAATAATTATTGTATAGTATGCAGCTATGCGATAGGGTCATTAAACCGATTTTCAATTGTGTGTCCCACTTATCTCTAAATTCAATTCAACGACTTCGGTAATCTTGTATAATATATATATATATATATATAGGTATATATCTATATACATACAACCTATATACATGTATACATTTTACGGCATTCTTTAAAGTGGTTGATGTGTCTCGTGTGTACTGCACAATAATAATTGTTTCACAAACGGAGTATTTAAATCAGAAACGTGTATGCCGTCTTTAATCTTAATCGAAAATGTATAGATCTTTATATGTTATTAAACGAAGATTAGAAAGTATTTATTTACCTTCTTATCAAGTCAGAGGAGGGCCGTTATCACAATATCTGTTTACATGTAGGTTCCATAGACAATTCTCTCAACTCTCCCCATTGAAAATTCTTATAATCACGCTACTGCAATCCGGAAGGATATATTATATATTATATTAAAACAGGTGGGTTGCGTACAAAAAAAAAAAAAAACGATCAAAACAATATAAACGACTTACAAATTTAAACACATGGAAGAATACCGCGTGTCCCGTCTCAAAAACGTTAAATGAATAATTGATTAGCCCAGATTTAATAACGTTTTTGTGTCGCGGTATCATTTTTTTTCTCGTTTTAAAGATAATTTTAACCGTTTCGAATATCGTATTTTATTACCAAGGACATGAAATTATAGTGGTTGTGTACCACTATAGATATTAGCGATTAACTCGTAAGTGCACCTAATAAACAACACAAGGTGATCTCGATGTACATAATACTATTATTAAAATATAAAGTACGCCTGTTCACACAGGCCTGTTTTTCGTATCAAATTTGTTTTCGATGGCTTTTATTTCCTACGCGTACAATATAATATGTGATACTGAAAAAAAAAGTATTTACTTCTTTTTCAACGCCGTTTTTCTCGAAATTAGAACGATAAGGTCGTTAGATCTTTTCCGCAAGCCATCGTGCAGCGGTATAGTATTATTATATTATCTACCTCAAGAGTGCCGTAGTTTACACAAGAGGTTTTTTTTTTTTTGCACGTCTTAAAATTATTTGCGATTTCAGTAATTTTTATACGAATTATTATATGCACATATATAAATGTGTGTACATAAAAAAATATATTAATTTTATTAGGTATAATTTCTTGAGTATTCGCAAAATTTATCGAATATCAATGATAAGTATACACCTCCTATTATAAGGGATTTGCACCTGAAGAATTCCACATAACCCAAAATCAAATTTACAAAACCTACTGTAAAAACAAATACCACAGAATTAACCCGAAACAAATCCGTGTCAAACCGAAACCCGATTATTGAATCATATACCATTAAGTGACATATCGATTTGTATGTATTTTTTGTAACTAAGATAATCGATGTTTTGCATGTTAAACGATTGTTATTTTATAATAAAATAACATTATTACTAATCAGTGATATTGGGAACAACAACATTGGTTAGACGTTCCAAGCATTTTAACGGATTTTTATTATTATTTAATATTATTATGCGATGATGCGAGTACGTAACCCAGTTTCTTTTTTTCTGTCTATTTTCATTAATCTATTTATCGCTATATAAAAATTTAGAAATTATTCAAATTGATTCAATATAATATATCATATCTACGATTTTAGACATATTTCAGGTTAAGTTAGGTTGGAGGAAGGACTGCCCGAAAGGGCGAAGTGACCTCCTATCAAGCTGTAAAAAAAAAGTTAGGTAAGTTTGTAACCCAATATAAAATAATTAGTAACCGAAACACTATATTTCAACAACTCCAATTTTCTTTCAAAACCCGAAAGCCGAATAAATAATTCAGGTGCAAAGTCTTGTTTATTATGCACACGTTACGTATACACTTTACACGTAATTCATAAAACCTTCAACTATATTAAATTAAAATATGCGATGCTGTCGATATCATCATGATAATATTATGAGTTTTTCGTGTCTCAACATCTAAAATTATACATTACCAATTCGATTGGAACGAATTTCGTCTTGAAACGTAATAGTATACAAAATGCCGTCTCGGTATAAGTATTTGTGCGTAATCGATATCAAATATTTGTCCATGTAATTAAAAAAAAAAAAAAAAATTATTAACAAAATCAAAACCGGTTTTTCTAAAATATATCGTATCCATATAAGTAATGGAAATGGCGATAACGGTAGCAATTAAGAACACGGCCAGCAAGTAATTTACATGAAAAAACTTAATTGAAATTAGTATTATTTTTATTTTTTTATTTCATAGTTAAAGTTAATGATTGGCGGATAAAATTGTACGGGTATACTCGTGCAACTGTTGTAAATGACGAGTTTAATTAAAATTATAAGTATACAGAATAATGGGAATTATCGGAGAAAAAAAAAATTCGTCTCGTATTGACACAACAATATAGTATATAATAGAACACACGCGAGTTGATAATACTTCGACAATCGCCGCTAAATATGTACGCACGCTAGTTAACGTTATTGTATTATTATGCTGTCATAAGTGCGCGCAGACTCGCGCGATTTGCGTTCGGTTATATTTTTTCTCTCTGATCACTTTGTTATCGGTATAGTGCAGTCAGTGTACCGGCGGACGCGCGGAACCTTGAAACGGATTACATATTATAGCCCGCAGGTGAATATTTCGAACCGGAAATGTACTCGCGCATATTTCAAACCGTACGCGCGTTGGTTAACGTTTTCGTAACACAATACGAACGCCGTAATAATGGTATGTATAGCACATGGGTAGGTAGCTAATACGATTACCATGATCGGACGACAACAACAATTCGGCTAATGCAATCCGCAATGGTAATCTGTCGACACTCAAACACATCTAGTATTGAAAATTTCGATCATATTCGGCGTTACAGTTTGAAATGTCATATTTACGCGTTTATTTAATGGCAAACGAAACGTAACAGCGTGAGCAAAACCCGATTAGTAAACCGACTCAGAATCCCGCGACCGACCCGACGTGTTATTCCCCATCTGCTTTATCATGACCCGTCGTATTTTTTTTCGATCGACTTTGGCTAATGGGCTTACGCTTGGGACGTACTATAACTTCCTCGGAACAGTATCAGGTTTTTACCAACGGGTACGTTTTCGTTAAGGGCTGACATCATCGCATGCTTTGTTTTCCCCCTACGGCTTCGATAACAGTGCCCCAATCCAGTTTATCGCCCGTCTCTGCGCATACTTGTAGAGACATTACTAATTGTAATTTACTACTTGTAAATACTTTGCAAGACAACCTACTAGGACGGCATCAGTTGTACTTATTATTATTCATTCCGTACGCGAGTTGCGTCCTAAATATAAAAAATTCATTTAAAGGTGTACCGATTCCGTTCCGGGTATTTTGAACGATAAGTTTAATCAATCGGTTAAATCTGAAACCTAGGTTAATGTACAATGTGCGTCTACAATAACAATAAAGGTATTATTTAGAAATTAATTTTATTTAATATTAATTAATATTTTAGAATTCAAGTGTCTTAAATCTTTAACAATCAGGTAATATCATTTTTGTTTTTATTTATATGAAAATGTTAATGAAAATGATGAAACAAAAAGAGAAGCTAAAAGTTTGTGGAAAAAATGTCAAAAAGAGAGACTGCATATCTGACATTATCATGGAGAGGTATTTTGAAGAGAAGTAATAAAAATTAAATTGAATTGCAAAATAAACACTGTGATGCATTAAAAGCCGTCAACTTGCTAAAATCATTAAGGCATTTTGTACTAAATTTAAAAGACTCTAATGAGTTTTATGAAAATAAAATCACATAACTTAATCAAAATGTTTATAAAACGTATAAGAATGAAGCTAAAAGAACAAGAAAAAAAAAAGTATCCTGATGATAATAGTGGTTATAAAAAAGAAATTATGTATAAAGGAATATACTAAATTAAAATGGTTTTACACAAAATCATTGCAGGAAGTATTTCCAAATATTTTAATTGCTCTTATATTATATTTAACTGTCCCAGTGGCCAATTGTTCAGCCGAATGAGCATTTTTCAAATTAACAAGAATAAATAATAAATATAGAACAAGCCGGGCTCAGAAAAATTTAATATCATTAATGATTTTATATTCAGAAAATGATGCAAAATATCATTTTCTGAATTATTATTTTCTGATTATTCCCTTATAACACAAATAATGTAAGTGTATAATAATACTAATACCATGACGACCCATGTTTAAATAATAAGGTATAATACGCTGGCTTAAATTACGAAAATGATATATATATATAATAATATAGTGATATTATAATATTGTAGTAAATCTTCTTTTTATTAGGGACGGAATCTGACTAAAAAAAGATACGGTCATGCTTCAAACGATGGGTGTGCCACTGTTGTAGGTGAGAATTCGGAAAAATAGAGGAGAAATTGAATGTATATCTGTAACGATTAACCATTGTTTACGAAAAAACGATTCTGAACAGAGCTCGGTTGATAGTTTTTATTTGTCAACAGTATATATATATCATTTTATGGTAAAATAATTACGTAATATGCATTATATATTTTCATTAATAATATTTGTTAAATATTGTACCTATTTTCCCGTTTTTCCTACGTTTTTTCCCATGTTTTTCCCATTTGTTTGGAAAACTCTTGGGAAAATCAGAAAAAGACCTCCCTAACGTACCACTCCAGTCAAATTTCCTTTCAGAAACAGTTTTAAACTTGAAAATTAGAGCGGAATTGCAGGTAAAAGAGTTGTATACTGAAAAAAAAAATAAAAATATTGTAAAACCAACATTATTCCTCGCTCTGCTCAGAATTTTAAGAGGTCATTGGGACGGAGAGCTTTTTACGATATCTTTTTTCAAAATCATTAAAAAAAGCCAACGTTACATGTTTTTTTTTGTTGTTTTTCGAGTTTATTTACCTGTTAACATACCAAAACGTTGAAAAGCCTTTAAATCACACGGTTTCTTTTCAGTTGACATTTCCAATTGTATATTTTTAATTTTAAACGAACCGAGGGATGTATTTTTTTATTTGCCTTCGAACAAGATCTTGACCAGAATACTTACCCCGATCATTAGCATTATCAAAGATGGTTTCAGTTCAGGCGCGTATACAAGGGGGGATTAGGGGTTTAACCTCCCCCCTAAAATTTCATGAAAATTATGATGCAAGTCGATTTTTATTGGGGTCTCAAAAGTAGTTTCTATCAATGAGGAATATATATACATACAATTTTGGTTTTATTTTTATTTTATTACTAGCAAGTAGTTTGGTATATTTTTCTTATTGTCATTTCTAATTTTTGTAATTTTCTTGCTTTTAGAAAATTATAACTGATATGACGATATTGCATAGTCCACAGTGTCATCACAATAATATAAATAACGCGTTAAAATAAATGTTATTAAATATTGACATTTTTAATGTAGAATAAATAATTCTACAATTGAAAATATGTAAACTTTTTCATTATAAAAGTATATAAGTGTACAACCTTAACCCCCTCCCTCTCCGAAATATTTGTTTGCAAACACAACTGTTTCAGTTAGCGAACCGTTTTTAGACGGTTTATATTGTAAAAGAAATTAAACATTTTCCTTAAATTTTTCTTTATGATGAGAGCAATCCAAAATAAAAAAAAAAAAAAAGTCAGAAATACGGGAATATTTTTAGAACAACGGTTTTTGTTTAAATCGATTGGGTTAGGTTTTTTTTTATTTTAATAATTTTAATTGAATGCGAAATAATTAAATCAATCCGACACTTTCACCGAAAACTAATATTATAGAATTTTTCGCTGGTAAATATGGTTTCCTCCCACGCGATTGTTGCTGTTCGCGTGCAACACTTATGACGACCTTGCTGCCGAGTAACAAAGTACCCAAGTATTTTTTATTTTGTTTTATAATAACGACAACAATAATAATATCACTATCCGGTCAGTGTTTATTTATTATTTTTTTTTTTTTTTTACACATTATCAATTTTACTGTTCCGATTACCGAGACTAGGGCTTATTTTGTGTAAACTGTTTTCGTGGACATGCGCATTTTGGTCATGCGTCTGATGGGCACGTATAACGATTACATACCTGCCTATCGCATACGAATTATCGTATAATCTATAATATTATACAGACGCGTTTGAACACCAGAATAAGTCCATTCTCATATAATCACGTATAATCGTTAAAAATATTAGATAATACCTACTTACATAATATCGTTACGATTCGTAATATGGAAACAGTATTTTATAGTTTACTGAGATGTGTGGATTTTTTGTACGTTCTGTAAACGAAATTGCCACAAGAAATATTGTTCTATTCATCGACATCGACGTATGGTTTCTGTTGGAAAATGTTTAATTGGCGCAGTATTAGAGGTGTATTTTTTTTTTACTTTTCTTAATGATGCTCGAAACCTGCCCGAAAAAAGAAATATTTATGAAACAATGGTTTTTTTTTTTTTCAAATGGATTTTGTGAAAATTAATCACACAAACCTGATATTTTTAGCAAATACTTAGTACTCGATTTGGGAAAATAAAAGAAGAAGGACTCAACGTAACCGAAACGGAAAATTTTACGGAACTGGGAACATCAACACTTATAAATAGCTCTTTCGAAACATAAAATAATTTTCCAATTGTTTATAGCCATTTATAAATAAAATCGAATAAAGTCGAATCACCATCATGCTGTTTTTGTTCACTGAAATATTTTTTTCATTTTAGTTTGTTTCCCGGCTTAATCACTTCAAGTTTTATCATCAGCTTGAAATCCATTAGAACAAAACCACGAAATGTGTTTTAAAAATTAGCATATCTAGTATAATGCAATCACTAATTAGTTATACTAGTAATGTTGTTTGTATTCTTTTTTGTCAATACATTGTCAACTTTTTACAAATCTGTATGGTACTACAAATCTATATTATCCAAGTGATATTCACGATGAAACTTTCATCATCTCTTGAACAATGCCGTTTGATAATAGAGACATTCTTATTAAAGGATTAAACTGGAAGTCTTGACGTGATGAAAGATTTTTCAAATCATCTTTATTCTTTTACATTATGTATTACGGTTTTTTTTTTTCTTGAGATTTATATTAAGATTGTCTGAAATATCATATTGAAAAATAAGATAAACGAATTTAATATTATTATATATTAAATAATATATTAATTATTAATACAAATTTATATTAAATTAATAAATAATTAAATAATATATGATACTCTGAACGTGCATATAATATAATTGCAAAATGACCTAACAAAGACTTTTGACTAAACCAACAATACCTCAAAAAAGAACAAAAGTTGTTTGTCTTACAGGCATTATGTTTGAATAAATATTGCGGCACTTCTATAACAAATATAGGTTTTTTTTTTTTTTATATTTGAAAGCAACGCACTTTTATGTACGGATAAATAAATATTATATCGAAAACTCGATAATGTATTAATGTATACCCGTATTATGTATAGGTAATATTGTATGACTAACAAAAGTAATGAGTAATTAACAATATTACTCGATTGCTAACGATAAAAAAAAAAAAATAGAACAATATGATATTATTATTTTATAATTGTTATTCGTTATTAATATACATAGTATAATATGGGGTTAGGATTTATTTGTTGTAGCGTTAAAACTGAAAACGTACACAGTTTTTCTATAATAATATAAAAACAAATCTATATTAATTGATTGGAGATAGTTAACCTGTTTTTTATACTGATAATATTTTGTTTGTCTTTTAGCCGATTAGACAATAATAATAATGTTATAAAATACGAGGAGCGGTTTGTTTCGTAGATTACGTCTCATTATCGCCAAGGATTTTTTTTTTTTAAACAGCATTTATAAGTAGGTACACTCAAGACATGTTTTTAAAAATTCATAAAATTGGGTAAATAAAAATAAATTATTAAGCAAGGTAGATTAGGTACCAATATTGTTAAAAGACGTAAGAGAAGTGACCAATAGGGTGACGATAGATATGTCAAAGAATCGTGACGAACAGATAAACTTATTAGAAGCATACAAAAGGCTTTAAATGACCGTTAAGCAAAAAAAAAAAAGACTACTAAAACTAGTTCACGAGTCTCCTCCAAATAGACGATAATAATATTATCAAATAAAACCAATTCCATTATCTATTCCATAGAAAAAATGTTCTCGTTGAAAATTTGGTTCCGTATTTTCCTTCTAGCTTTTACTTTAACCTTACCTTTTATATTTTTCAAGAATTTCCACTTTCACCAATAGATCACCCCTGCACTTTTTTTGCAGTCTTTTATATCATAAAAAATAAGGTATAAATAATTCATTGTACCGTAACCAAAAATATATTTTTAATTTACTGAGGAGGGATGCCCCTGTTGTATCTCGGGTAGACCATTGGATTTTACACGGGATTTGCAGCAGAATTTATCTGTACGTGCCGATAGATACAGCGAAAAGTTTCACTTTCAAAGCCACTAAAATCAAGTTTGTTTACAATTTTATAAAATACGTGTCACGTTATAAATATTATAATTATATAAAATTATATGTTTCGATAGTTACTTTTACATCACACCACGTATTCCATAGATATCAATAGGTATATATATCTGTATCTGCATAAATAATAAATATCGTGCGACATACGCGTTTAATTTTATTTAGACGTTTTGTATTTATAAAATTATTTTGTTTTGTTTTCAATCAAAGAAGTGACTTATATTGGTTCGAATAACGAGAACTATATTGAATTACATGGTATAAACGATGGTTAAAAAATAAAAATATTGTAGGTATCTGTATTTTAGTAGAGAAATCGGACCTGGCAAGAATGATTGTCTACAACCGTGATCACGAAAAAAATAAGTTATTACATTTATCATCACGTAAACCGAACATCGTATCGGTGTTTAGAACTAAAAATCGCTTTATAATACCGACTTATCAGGTACGCGAAGCTGGCAGTACAAACATAACACAACATTACAAAACCATTCTAACAGAGTTGTTAGATATTGTTAGAATGTTTTAGGAAAAAATTTAAAAGTTATTAAGCTTTAAAGATTTGTAGTGCTAAGTATATGTCCAGAATTACATACGAGATAACAATTTAAAAAAAAGTATCAAACAATGTTTTGTAGGAGTATGCTCTGTATTGTTAGAATTTGTTAGATAAAAGTTTCAGAAATATTTCACTTTATATGTGCGTTGCCTGACACTTATTCAGCAGTAAAATAATTTGAAATTGAAAAGAACCATCGACAAAATTTGTATAAATTCCAACAAGTTTGAAAACACCCCTAAATAATCGCAAAAATACATCGCAATTTCTGAAACTTTTATCTAATAAATTCTGGTACTTGTTTAGAAATACCGTGTTTTCATTTTTCAAAAAAGTCAGTTTAAAAAACTATTGAAACTGCTATATTATTGGTTTTCATTGCAGCTGCAGTGTCGACAACCATATCATAATAATTTGATGTATAATTATTGAAATTCAAAGTGAATCTGATATAAAGATTAACTCGATAAACAGTAAAAGAAAAGAAACGATAAATAAGGTAGAACAATTGGAAAATGTCTAGAAAGAATATAAAAATATGAAGCAATTTATCGTTTAACTTGTATAAAAAAAAAATGGCATTTGCCACCATTCATAATTATTATAAGTTTAAGTATACACTAAATACCCACAGATTACTATTAGGTAAATTTGTTTAAACGAGTTGTACTTTTAATATTTAAACCTAAAATGCGTTGGGCTTTTGTGCGTAAACGTGTTGTAACCGAATTTTACACCAGCTGTCGACCTGACGCAACTTTATGTATCGCTTCTTCGACAGGTACCGTGGGAGTTTTTTGAATTCCTATCCCTTCTCTTAGGCCCGAGTTAGGTTAGTAGGGCAGGTAAATTCTATAAGAGTGTGATGAGACAGGCTAACGTATGTTGTATTGTTTGAAGTGTTGGATGGTAGACAGAAAACTAAAACAGAGAATAAGTGTAGCAGAGACGAGAATGCTTAGATGGATGAGTGGAGTGACGAGACAAGATAGGATAAGGAATAAATGCATAAGAGGTAACTCAGGTGTGGCTTTGATAGTGGCTGAAATAACAGAAAAATAGACAAAGATGGTTTGGGCATATCGCGAAGAGAGAAGAATTAGAAACAATAAGAATTGTAATTAGAATAGATACAGAAACAAAGTTTTTAAATTTGAGATATTATTAGACCTAGTTTTTAAATTATTATAAATTAAGAAATTAATTGTTTTGCTTTTAATATTGCTAGATACCTACCTATATAATGTTCTCGCGAAGAGCTAAATAAATCAAATCAAATTTCTCACTTGAATAATTGAGAAAACATAAAAATTACTATGCGATATACCTTTCAATTAATGTACTTTAGAAAAATATTCATTGCATTCAAGTATACCAATTTTAAAATAACTACAATTAAAAAAATGTATCGACATCTAATATTCTGCTCAGAATCGTTTTTCGTTAGCAAGCAATGGTTTATCGTTGCGTACAGATATAAACCAAATTAATCTATACTGTATCCTCCACATAAACTTTCTGCTGAAACAGTGGCATACCCGTCAGCAGTATCGGCCCTCTTTTTTATTATTGATTTTCCGATAGACCGTGATGAGTTTACAGATTAACATTTAACATTGGTAAAAATATTATTATTACTATCATTTCTATGTGCGGTAAAAATCTAAACAATCCAGTCATCTGTCCGATTGATTTCGTATTATATAGCTGGTACAAATTACCGTTCATTCATCCGCGTACAATATTATGCGTCTTATTATGTATTTTACAATTGCGTCGTTTGTCTTCGTGCAGATGACTTCACACGGGGGTCAAGACCGCCACCAATCCCCGTGACACCGTCTTTGACGCTGCAACGACGACGTCTGTAACATGACCGCCTAACTATTTGCGTACACGGAAATTCCTCTCCGGACGCAATAATATTACACAGATATATTTATACAAATACCGCAGTCGTCTGAGTCAGAGTCGACAACCCCGGAAAAAGGTTGTTGACGGCACTGACGCGACGGAAGGACAAATCAGAAAACTATCATTATCATTTATATATATATATATACATACCAATACACGATGGTCTAAAAATAATGTCCCCCCCTTCCCTTCGGTTTTCTGTCATACGGTCTTTGTCGTACATTCGTACATACAAAAGTATCTTAAACGATAAAAAAAGAATATAAGAATGTATCGATTATTTATATTAGTGTCGGGTATCCGGATAATAATTCGTTTGTTCGAAAAACAGCAGTTTATATCCGGTTCCGCTAAAACTATTCTTATTACGACCCGCACATTACTGAGAACCGTCGCATTGTCCAACGTCATTATCGTTTCGAATTTCCGAGTCGATTAATGTCAAACGAGTTAAGAAAACAAAACAAACAAAAAAAAAAAAAAAAACATTAAAACCCTTACTCCTTGTGCCCGACTTTGAAATTCTGACTTAAAAATAATGTCACGAACTAGTAGATAATTTATCCTTATTTGTATACTCATTTTGTTGCTTCATTTTAACCTTCGAAAACCGTATTTTTAATTGCTGGTGCTAGGGGAGTTTATTACCCCAGTGCCCGCGCATCTGTAAAATGTACTTAAAGACTTCATGTTTGATGATAAAGTAGAATTTTGTATTATTTGTTACTTAAAATTCCAGAATTTTAGTCCCATTTTAATACCCGACATCCGTATTTTTATAATATCCGGTTATTAAATTACAAATTGTATTAAAGATCTACGACTGTAGTTGTAATGTTTCTAATAAAGTTACTAAAAAATAAAAAAAAAAATGTTTTAGTATTTTATTACATATGTATATACATAAACATTATTTACAATTTCGCTGTAAAAATGATTATTCATATGTTATACAGGTTGTTTAAACTTGTAGAAATAAAATTTTGTTGAGATTAATTGCACAAAAAAAAAAAAATGACTGATTTTCGGTTGAAATTAATCTTTTCATTTAGCACAGTGGTTTTGAACTGGTGTGATGTGTGAGTTTCTGAAGTGTGCCACGTTAAATCGGTTCTTTATTTTTTTTATATACTATATTATACGAATCTTTTGTTGATTAACAGTACTTAATAAAACTATTAGTAATAAAAAAAACATAATTTCTTTATAGTAGCTACAGTATTGGAAACATAATTTCTAAGTATAGTAGTTCATTTTTAATATAATTTTTTATTTAATACCCAGAAATAAAAACACGGTTTCGGGGGATTAAAATAGGGTTAAAAATCACGAATATTAGGTAAAAATAACAATAAATTTAAAATTCTACTCCATCACCTCGCTTCGATTTAATGCCTCTAAATTTTTACCGATGCAGATGGTAAGGTCCCCTGGCACCAGGAGTTAAAAATACGGGTTCGGTTGTAACGAATCCTGAATTTCGAGTATTAAATTAATTTGAACCCTTATATGCCCGTATTCAGTGTTCTTTCTGATTCGATTAGTGTGCCGAAATTCTCATACAAGGTCGTACTCGTCCATTATCCAGTATTGAACAGTGGTATATTATTATTAGTCTTAGTTTTTTTTATTAATATTGTTGTACAATTACTTTCACCTTAAACAATTTGTTTTACTCAATTAAATCAAATAATGAATTAGATGTATTTTTAGCATCTTATTCCTCTTTTATAATATTGACGGCTATTGGCTTCTTGTCGGTGTTCATACTTTGTGTTTGTTATTGACAACATGGACCGGGCCTACTGGGGAAACCATGTAAAAAACAAAACGCGCCAAATGATTCTACCTCAAGGACCAAGGTGGTGCGGAAACGAATGCGTTCATATTACCGTTGTGTGTATAATCGTAATTTTGTACGGTAAACGTTCATTCTGGACGGTACTACGCAATCCGTCATCGTTATCGACTGATAACAGATTACGAACGGATTGATAACATGCCCACGGTATATCCGTGTAATTATTCCGATATTGTTTCGTCGATACGTGCCTATTTACGGCTGTTCGGCCGATTATGTAACACTGTCGAATAAAAAAACAACAATGAATCCGTGAGTATGTTGAATTAATTGTGTCAGGCATAAACAAGTGTAAAAAAAAAAAAAAATAATGACATTGCTTTGCGATATAAAACAACATGGTAAAACGTACTTCTTATATCGACGGTGTATTAGACGCGTAATAAATAGGTATTCAATTTTTATATATTGGTTTTACCATGATGTTTATTATTATTTTTTTTTTTTTTGCCGTGAACCAATTCTCTACCAGAAATTTTGCTCTGATTTTCAAGTTTAACACTTTTCTTGAAAGGAAATTTTAATAGAATCGTACTTAGTGAATTTTTCATAATAAATGGGAAAAACAAGAAACTGTACAAAAAGTATTTTTTACAAATCATAAATATTGTGGGTTTTCAAAACATGCATAACTTCTCACCTACAACAGTGCCCAACCATCGTGCGAAGTATGTCCGTTATATATAGTATAAAGGTTTTTTATTTTAGTTTTATATTGTGTTTTACTTTTCGACTAGAAATCTCACTCTAGTCGTCATCTTTAGTGACGGCTGCCGATAGAAAATTTAACCTAATCAATGTGATGACGACTCAGTCATTTTTTTTGTTATTTTTCTTACTTTTCTGAATAATACAGAGTAAAATGTCCGGAAGACATATTTATGCGATTTTTCGTTTTTATTTTTCTATTTTCATTATTATTTATTTATTTATTTATAATTCAGGGGTGAAAATAATGACGTGAGACTTGAAAATTTCACCGATTATAAGCACTTTTTGTAGACGCAGTACAACTTTTAATATATTCTGACGTTTCTTGACTTATTAAATAATTATTTTTTACTATCGAGTTTTTTTTTTTTTTTGGTTTCGCGTGGATACAAATTTCGTAGTTTATTTTTATCAGCGTTTAAGGCTCAAATTTACGATAAAATTCGTTATAAACACGAACAAATGTGTAGTTGATTTTGCGTTCGGGAATAAGTATTATAATTTCCAATTTAAATTTATCAAAAATATTTAACTGATCGGAATGTGTTTTTTTTTTTTTTAATTTTCGAAAATTTAAAATCAACTTGAAAATTATAATACATCAATCTGCAAGCATCGATATTATAATAACAATTGTTTTTTTGTAAGAATTGAAAAATCAAAGCGCGTTCTATCAAATACTACCATTTTTACATTTTGAGTAGGTGTGCATAAAAGTAGGTAAAGGCATTCCACGAATTCTGAATTCGAAAATATTTATGAACATTTTGTTTCGAAAAGCCCGTTTTTTTCTCTCTATTATTATTGCCCACGCGTACGTGAAACGCAATAATGATTTCGTTTTGTTTACCCACACATAAAATGTTAAAGTGTATTTGTTTTTTACGGACTTTCAGCATACAACAATATTTTGCCACGGGATTTTAATGTACGGGCTCATTATCGTAACGAATCGGGTTCCTCGAACTAATATCGTTAACACATTGACCTGATTTGGCGTTTGGCAGTTGTTTCCATTGTTATAATAATAATTAGCGATTACCGCGCGATTTTATGTCCGTGACGAGATACATCACAGATAATGGTATTGATACGCGGTGAGGAAAAATGATTACCAACTAACTAAAGAATTATTCACTGTTTTTATTATTATTATTATTATTTTTATCTTTTTCAAGTAGATTTAGAGCAAATCCGAATGTAATCTGTGACAACGCGCAGAGCCGAATTTATAGGTGGATATGCGAGGAAAAATGTTACGAAGTAATTAGCGGAGGGGCACTGGGGCCGTGGCCACTAGGTACTCCCCTCTCACAAAAATAAAACTTAAAAGCCCGTCAAACCGTTAAACTTAAAATTGAGATATTTCTTTAACGTGACGAAATTAAAAGACGTCAACATCAAAGTTTATTTGAACCAAAACGTGATCTATTTGTGGAATTTGTGTTGTAGCAAAGATTGCCTTTAAAAATTAAAAGTAAGTAATGACTTAATCTCCGGAAATAAGACTGTATAATAGTAGAGTAAAATTTTAGCTGTTTATTTTCTAAATTGTTTAAAACAATAAAATTCCGCAAAAAACTAATACTTTTTAATGTAATTTAACCTGGGTGTTTTACGTTACAAAAATCACCTATATAATAATAGGGTTGAGTTTTTTGACCGGTCAAAATCTTTCATGGACAATTGGCCATATTTTGACACGTCAAAATTGTCGAAATCTTTCTTTTTTTTCGTTTCAAGTTGGCATGTTTTATTTCAACTGAAAAATAAAATGAGAACCATAAAATTGTAAAAATTTGAATTTTAGAAAATAAGTTATTAAATACTTGATACTAAATAGTAAATATTTTATACCTATTGAAAATCGGAAAAATATTTTAGTTATTCAACTTTTAAATTCAAAACAATTTTAATTGAGTTAATTGGATAGCAAATAATTATAAAAAAAAATGTAATTGTACAGCACTTATGGAGAAAAACGTTGTTAAGTATTTCTAGAGGAGTTTTTTTTCACCGTAATTTCAACAGGTCAATTGAAATTTTGACAATCCTATATAATTTTTTAATAGCCATTACTATAACTTACTCCTCGTATAATATCTGTGTTTCGTTATTCTTAACCGGGTCGTAGATTTTCCTTAAAAGGAACTGCCTGCTATTATATGAAAACAATATTTATACGAATATTATCTACGTTTATAACCTGCACTCTGCCTACGTTTACTTTAATATACTCAAATAATATGATTGAAATGCATATGAGTACTTACCCCATAGAATAATTATATGCGGCGATAAACTTTCAACTCGAAACTTTCTACTGTACTTGCATCAATTGATCGTACGTTTGCAAAATATGGCGCAAATGTTCTCCGAAAATTGGATACATATAATACGTATACGCGAGTCATCCGCCGCAAATACGAAATTTGATTTTCGTACGCTACGCGCACTTGTATGTTGCCCAATTGTAGTTATTACGTGTGTATAATAATGTATACGTGTATGATATTTAACCCTATAGGTACGCGAAAGCAACGTGCGAAACGCGAAATGACTTTGTTAATGTTCATCACTTCAAATTATATACACTGTACAGAGTTATATCTTTTATCAAACAAAAATAATTTCAATGCGTTTATTTTAGGCGAATTTTCCTACCAAATATATGAACTTAAGCTCGAGAATTAGAGTCGCGGTTTTACAGGCGGGAATAAGTGATACGAATTGGGTTGAAATTTAAATATCAATTTCACGGTGTAATTGTTGCGGAAGGAAAGTGTTAATTAGATAATTAGATGAATAAAACATTTGAGTATTTATTGCGTTAGTGCCAAATAAGTGCTAATGTTGGGTATTTAAACGGGCCCATGTATTATAGTTGTCTTCAAAAGTACCTTTTTTTTAACCGATTACCCTCATCTACCTAGATTAAAATGCAAAAGCTACCCTCAACATATTACAAACACGGTCATAATACTACATCCATCTTAAAATAGGAGAGATAAATTCTCATGTAAATATATATAATAAAATAGTAAATACATTATTTTCAACGATAATAACAATTATTAGTATAATACATTTTATCAAAAACAAAAAATTGAAATAAAGAAAATATTTTAAAGATAACAATAATACGCGTATTGCGATTAAGTCTAATTTATTGTTATTATTATATAGGTACCTGCAGTCGGCTATTCATCGGCTAACCATACACGATTTTCTCAATTTTCGCGTTTCGCTGAAATTCCCCTCTTCTCACTATTTACGCGGTATTTTAAATGCGGCGAAGACAACTGATGCATTTGGATTGGGACAACTGATATATTTTTTAAATGCCGAAAACAGCCATTGAGGGCAACTGGTCGATTTCATATCGGCTTCCGTCATTTTTACACTCAGGTTTCATGGTTTTTTTTTTTTTTTTTTTTAAATTATTATTTACATAATCGATTGGGTTTTTAACAATCTCACACATACCACTCCAATTATCGAGTAACGGAAATGGTATTAAGACGGCCGTGAGGAAAATTCGACTATAGTGAGGCACTGCGACGGAATTTTGGTGTTCACGCCGCTCACGGGTATTTTATCTATAGACGCGCGTAACAAAAATGTAGTGGGTGCCCATCAAGTTACCACCGCAACCTACATAAAATTAATTGTATACATATCATGCATAAAGGGTTGTAGTATGATTCCTTGTTCGGTTTTTTATAGCAACCGAGTTGAAAATCCATTATAAATGTTTTGAGTACGACTAGTATGTAATATAAGATAAGTAATTGTTTGACCTTTATCGTTGAGATTAGTTATCATTTTTTGTTATTATTATGTGTCGGATAACACGCCGAGTATGAATCACGAAATTTATAGTTTTTAATCTTTACAGCTTGGAAATGTAAACAACAATTTATTTGAACTGTCATTGGGCTAAATCACATTAAGGCACAGGCAGCGGATAACATAATATATAATATAACAACATTGATATTTTAAATCCTACTTACACGTTTCTATAGATATGATAAGATTAGTATTGTTTGTTTAAATTTACATCGGGTTGGATTATAATTCATAGATTAAAGGCTACAATAAAATATTCCACGTGTGAAAAAAAAACACGATAAATTCCGATAAAAAAAAAAAAAAAAATGTAAAAAACAAGTTGTACCTATTATATAATATTAATATTACCTATTAAAATAAATAAACGCATCAAAGTCGTATTAAGAGTTACGTAATTGTTATATTATATGGACTCTGTTAGAATGTAAACATACGAACCCAACCGGGAATATTTAATGATTTGGTTTTTTTCTTATATATATATATACCTGTATGAATAGATCTATTTAATATTATAAATCGTGAGACGTTTTTCGCGAATCAATTTGTGTGAAAATAGAACCCCCCCCCCCCGGAAATGATAAATCAAATGACGACTATATATAGAACATGGAATGTAATATAAATATATTTTTTTTCGACTACAGTAATTCGTTGAAACGACGATTTAAATTGTTTTTTGAATATTCTCTACCGTATCGTACCGTAGTATAATATCGTTATTTCAATATTTCAGTTTTCAAAGCCGGGCATCGACATTATTTTCAAAAATAAATCACAAAATCTGAGTTTTTTTATATTTTCATCAGTCACCGGTTCTCGAATTCAAAAAATAAAAGAAGACGGGCTTTAAGCGCTAAACGAAATTAGGTGATCTTGCGATTTTAAAACATAGGTCTTTTAGTGATTAACAATTTTGGGGGGAAAAAATCATGACCAGCCTAGTCTGTAGTCGTGATTTGTTTTAGATTCTATTACCATGTGTGTTTTTTCTTCTTTTTTTTCTACCTGCAAACAACTTATATACCGAGAATCATATTTCGTGTAATTTTTTATTTTTCTTATGATGTTGTGCTCCTAGACACGAGCGCTTTCTTGTATACTTTTGTTTTGTTTTGTTTTTTTTTTTTTGCCCAAATATAGAGAAAATGTCGAATAATATCGTCTTTAGATGGTGGAAAATCAGTACATTCACTTATTACTTTTTCAACCGTTCCTAACAATCAAACTTTATTTGCTTTTCTCACTATTTTACTCATTGTTATTACAAATTTACAAAAAAAAAAAAAAGTAATTTAATTCTGTACCTGTATGAATGGTAGAATAAGCCGGTCGTAATTCGTACTTTGAGGATGAAGCGAACATCAGACGGTACGTGAAGTGCACAATGCAAACGGTAATATGTGACTAAATATTAAACACAATTTCACGAGATTACACTCGTAGGTAATACGCACATAAAGCATATCAACAACGATTTACTTTATTTGTTATATTGAAAATAAAAATTATTATTAGAATTAATAGTAATAATATTGCATATTTCTATATCACATTATCAGTGGTCGACGACCGTGTTTGCATTCGGACGATCAGTAGAGTACGCGTTATTTTTGTTATTGAAAAAACACACTGTTACAATGATAATATTATAATATTGAATTTTGCAGTGGACAATTTTTAAATATTCGTAATAAATTTGTATTTATTTTAGAAAATATCTCACGCATAATTCGTGTTGTGTTCAAGGGTAGTTCCAGCTGATGATTTACCGGCATTATGTAATCGTTTGCATTTAATGGCTAATAACTTTGTCAATTTAAATATTATTCGCATCAACTAATTAGACCATATTAGTTTCTTATCAAATTCTGATCGTTTATTCTCGTGTCATTTTTTTTAGTTAGCTGTAATTTAAACGGTAAAAAAATACATATAATTGCGTTATTTATCCAAATATCGAAATTATATCCGATTGGGCCAATACCGTTTAATTTGTCCAGGTACAATACCTGTGCAAATTAAATACAAATATACGACCGCGAAAAAAAATGTTTTAGTCCATCCTAATATTTATAATATTATGTACACTGCGTTATACGCAGTATACACAATAACGGTTTTTGTTGCATTCGATTTTTGTTTTTTGCTGTTCTAATGTCATTCGCATGTGAAAAATAATATTTTAAAGGTCGGAAATTTCACTGATTACTTACAAATACTCTCCAATATCTCTTTTTGGACAAATGGTGTAATTTTCAAAACATTCTGGTAATTTTTCAATTATCTTAATAGCTTTTAGAAATTATTGAGTTTTTTCAGGGTTTTTTATTTAGTTTTGCGATTGAAACTGTTTTTTTCAATAATGTCCCACAAAGTTTATCATGAGTTAGAATTAATGGTAAAAAAAAAAAAAGTTGAGCCTAATGTAGTCATTTTTTTTTTGTAAACATTTAAAAAAATTTTAATGACAATGCATTTTGATTAAAATGCAAAAATATATCTTATGCGTTCCATTGAAAACAAATGGTAGAGGTACGGAGTCTCCATGCACTCCCTCCCCCTTTCCACCTAAGTCAAACACTGATTATAACTCGACCGAGTTGATATCCATAGATACCAATGACTTGTCTAGCCAATTTAGGCCGTTTTAAACTAAGATCACATGCAGTTTTCAGCGGTATTGTTTTTATAGGTTTATATAATTATTATTTTTTGCCATATCAGTTTTATTCGATACAAATAATCGTGTTATAATATTTATTACGTGTCACCGCTTACAAATGATAATAATAACAATGATTGATAGTCGAAAGTAATGTTGTTTTTTTTTTTTTTTTTTTTTTTTTTATTTTTTTTTTTTTAATCACAGCAGTTTTGCGATAAAAATAATGTAGGCACATGAGTGGTTGCAGCAGCATAATATTTTGTTCTTGGTGTTTGACAATAATTGACACACTATAGTAGTATTAAACTTGTATATGCGTAAAAAAATATACACGTTAATTAATTATTAATTATTATTATTGTTCTTTATTTTAATATCGACAGTGCCTATTTATTTATTTTTATTTTTTTTTTATTATTTTTTTTTTTTTAATCACAGCAGTTTTGCGATAAAAATAATGTAGGCACATCGCTGTGAAGTATTCATCCTTATTGTAATACATAATATTACGCATAATTGTTATTCGTTAGCTATATTATCATATTGTTATTATCATTGTTATTACGCGGCGCGCAGTGGTCGAATATCTGATTGACATTTAAAACATAAATCGTCGTTGTGTAATATATATTTTATAATACCTGCTTACTTTTTGTCCGGTGTCGAGATAAGGGGAAAAAAAAACAACAATATTATACTCGTTCGTATTTCGTAAAGAATACGAAACTCATAAAAACCGACAATAAAGGTTAAAATATCAACAACGAATAGGTATGGGGGTACATGCAATTAAGATGTATTGTATATTATTATAATAGGTTAACCTATAGTTAAATGAAACAAAATAAATTCGTAAAAGTATTGATTATAATTCTAATACTTTTTTAGCGGACCCGCGTATTTTTTATGTTAACGTCGAAACACGTGTTTTTTTTTTTTTGATCTTACAACAAAATCGTTACCCAATACCCATATATCTCTGTATATATATATATATATATATATATATACAGAGATATATATATACGATTTTCACGCAGGATTTTAAGAGTGATCGATCCCGATATTTTCTTTCTTTGTCTACATGACATGATGCGTACTCAGCATATTTTTCCGGCAATCGGCCTGATCGATGCGAGGAAGGGATAAGAATTCTTAATTTTAATTTGAGACTCGAATTCTGTTGTAAGTGTACATGAGATCGTGTACGTGTTGTTTCAGTTAAATTTTCAAACATTTTTTTTTTCTTTACTAAGTTGTTTATTGTTTTCAATAATTCGAATTTGAAACATTTTCCATTACACATTTCGTTATTATATTATATGTTTCAATATCGTACACGTATAATATATATATTTTCATTTATATAATATTTAAAAATGAAATATTAATTTAATATTATTATAATATACGTTCCTACTGAAAAAACAAAATGATTTAATTTGTTGTCATATTTATATTGCAAAAATATAACCCACACCTGCTTTTTGTAACCTGTACTGCATATAACCTGCAGGTAAAACATTTCTTGATAAAATATATTTTAAAAACGTACTGGTTATATATACTAATAACTAGGGGCCGGATTTAAATACACCTAGAATCTTCGAAAAATACTCAAAAAACAAAAGCAAAAAAGACCTTTAAAAAATGAATTTTACCGCGAAAATTCTCTTAAAATTAACATACGTTTTTTTTAATTTATTGTTTTATTGGATAATTTATAACATAATTTGTATTTTATTTTTCAAAAAAAAAAAAAGCATGCAATTTTAACTTGCGACTAGCGACAACAGTATTGACTGAGAGGTTGTATTTGACTGATTGAATGGAAAACCCGAAAAACATGGGTAATATTTTGAATTATCTAAATTCACGCATGCACGCTAAGCACTCGAATCTCCACCGCCGAACCGGTCATCGTGGTGATACACGCTCAAACTCGAACGTGTTTTCGTCCACCGCCCAGTGCATTCTTATTTTGAACAAGGTAAAATTATTATTATCATATAATAACATTAAATGATGTTATAGCCGTAACTCGTTTAAAACGCCGTTTTATTATCACAAGTATCCGTATCGGTCATTCGTGGTTATCTATTATCGGTATAGGGGAGTTGTATAGGGATTATAGGGGTTGTGACGGCGGCAATAGTTCTGTATACATAATATTGATTAGAGATAAAATGCGATGTGTAAGCGATACGGAGAAATACGAGCACATAGATCAGTAATAGTAAATAGTTGTGCTTTTACATTCATTAATACTATCCCGGGTTAAAAAAAAATACCATACTATACACACACACATATATATATGCTGTACTACATACTATTCCAGATAAAAAAAATCTTTTGTACTAAGAAAAATGGTAGACAAAAAGGTATGTTGTGCGGAATCGTGTGCTATCGGGTTCCGCACATTTTCATAACACAAAAGATTTTTTTTTTATCTGACCGTAATGTAACACGATTCCGCATAAAAATTGTTGCGACGTTATCATTTATGGTAAAAAAATATGTACAGTAATATAAGTAAATAAAAAATAAAGCAAATAATAATAATTAAATTATATAAACATATTTATTTCAATTGTTCCCTTATAACAATTAATTGAAATGAGTCCCTAGTTAAGTACAATTTCTTCCCTTGATATCGAGGACCTACTTGTGATAAAAATTTAATTAAATCAATTTGATTTGATTTGTACTTATTGTATGTATTTATAGTGAATTCCATACGTTCTTTTTTTATTGCATTCAACATTTTCTGATCATTATATAATGTAATCGATCTGATTTTAGTATCGGTTTCCGACTAAAATTCTATCAATACTTTTATAACTAAATATATACGTAGGTTTGGATGATAAAATTAGTCGTTATATGTGCGATGAAAGCTTTTAGAACCGTAAGTTGTCTTATAAAAAGTATAAGTAATATAAAGTAATATATCATTATTATTATTGTTGTTGTAGCTTAAATCAAGTCATTGAAGTTTATTAAAAATGTGTTTTTATCTTGAATTCATTGATACCTTTTCTGCCCACAATTCTGGTGAAAATAAACATTAATCTTCAAAATATAATCAATGAACAAATGTCTTACAGTATCGTTGGCGCAAACACTTATAAGTTCAGTGAATGCTTCATTTACTTCATAACATGCAAGGAAAGGAACAGCGAAAAATTGCTTCAACTACTTTCCGGGTTCATCATTATTTTTATAATGCAATCGGCAACGTCGAAAATTAGTTTTGTGTGAAATAGTAAATCGCTGGTTGCGACAGTATTCGCTACTGCGACGCCGTAATGAGAACCAAACGCGCGGATTTTCACAAAAAATAAAACACGAAATCATTATTATTTTAGGTAAATAATTCAAATCCGCCGTCTACTGCACGTAGTAGGTATAGTTATAAAAACATATCGTACGACGGTGAAAAAAACGAAAAGTACCTAAACTACAATACGGCCTGTAATTAATAATATTAGAGGTCACACTGGTCACAGTTGTTGTATATTTGCCGTCTTGCAGAAACACACAATTCTTAATAAAAGTCATACATTACTATTATTAATTGAAAAAGTTATTCTACCTAACCTCATACAATATTGAATTTATCGTCTATTATTCACCATCGCGGTTGAATAGTTTTTGTTCGGTCACGGAAACAAAACTATATTAGAACAGTTTTTCGAAATATTCGAAAGTTCGTCTAAACTGTCGGAAAC